AAGAACCTCAAGATGTGTAAATACATTCACTATATCACCCACAGAGTTCAAGCAAATAGAGGACAAATGGAATTATCAAAAATAAGTTAGTTACATTGGCTAAGAAAACTAACTCTCCCTGTCCCCCTTTCCTCCCCCAGTTTCTAATATGTTCTCAAAGTAGCCATCAATGGAGACCTTATGAACTATAGCGGTCACCAGTTAGTTTGTGCTGTTATGTGTTGCACTCTGGTGAATATTCTTCTCTTTTTCATTCTGATATTGAAAATTGATAGATTGGTCCAGGCGCAGTGGCTCATGCCTGTAATCCTAGCACTCTGGGAGGCCCAGGCAGGAGGATCGCTTGAGGCCAGAAATTCCAGACCAGCCTGAGCAAGAGCAAGACCCAGTCTCTACAAAAAGTAGAGAAATTAGTCAGACATGGTGGCATGCACTTGTAGGCCCAGCTCTCAGGAGGCTTCGTGAAGCAGAAGGATCGCTTGAGCCCAAGAGTTTGAGGTTGCAGTGAGCTGTGATGAATGTGATGAAGACACCACTGCACTTTACCCAGAGTGACACAGAGATGCTCTGACTCCAAAAAAAAAAAGAGAGAGAGAGAGAACAAAACAAAATTAATAGATATTGCAGATGATTTGGTACTGTCAATATCTGTTTTCTGTTGTTCTTTAGTTTGTCTAAAGACACCTGCCATACTTTATTGACAGAAAATAGACTTGTGTCTCTGATATCACCACCATAAACTAACACTTAGTCGAGTCAACCTACCAGAGTCCTGAGACTAGGGGTTTCCAGCAAAATTTCAGCCCCAAACCAGAAGAGTTCTATGGAGGAAAATGCTAATCTAAGAACATGTAACTAAAAATAATTTTAAGGAGATGAGTAAAATTAATGAAGGACATATGATTGTGGTTATTGTCTTAGTATTTTTGGTAAGATACTTCATGTTCTTTTTCATTTATTTATTTATTTAGTCACATGATACAGCACTTTTTCTTTCCTCTGGTTTCTAATGCTCAATTTAGCAGACCATACTTGTGCCAATTGGAATAAACACACTGTCTTAAAAAAAAAAAATCCTTGGTCAACAGGCCACTCTCCTAAATGTCTCTACTGGCGTTGTGTCCATCTACACCAAGAATAGACTCTATCCTTTGTTGCCAGCTTGTTCCAACCAATCTCTTTGAAGTTCATGATGGAATAGAGTGTCTCAGATGATAGATTTTTATAAAGCCATATGCTAAATTTCTTAGAATACCTTCCCTCGTGGGCACACCCCACAAGAACTCAGAATCATGTAAAATTCCCTGTGTGCTTTGGGAGAGTATCCTATAGGCCATCTTTTATTTATTATTTATTTATTTATTTTACTTATCCTAAAATTCACCTATTTCAACTTTACAATGATTTTGCTGAGTGATAGAACCTCATGATAAATGAGTTTTAGAACATTTCCATTCCCCCAATAATTTTCATCTTCCCTCATGCCCTTTTATAATTAATCCCTATCCCCACTCCCAGCCCCAGACAACCACTAATCTACTTTGTCTCTATAAATTTGCATTTCCTGGACATTTTATATAAGTAGAATCATACAATAGGAAATCTCTTATGTCTGGCTTTTTCACTTAGCATCATGTTTTTGAGGCTTCTGTATAATAGCATGTATCCATAGTCTGTTACTTTTTATTGCTGCATAGTATTCTATTGCCTGGATACACCACATTCTGTCTATCCATTCACTAGTTGATGTAAATCTAGGTTATTTCCAGCTTCGGCTATTATGAGTAATGATACATAACATTATGGACATCCATGTGTAAGTTTGGCTACAGTGTTTAATTTATTCAAATGAGTATCTTCTTTGATGAAATATTTGTGCTTTCTTTTGCCCATTATTCTATTGGGTTTTCTTATTATTTTATTTATTTATTTTTTTTTTTTGAGACAGAGTCTCACTTTGTTGTCCAGGCTAGAGTGAGTGCCGTGGCGTCAGCCTAGCTCACAGCAACCTCAAACTCCTGGGCTTGAGTGATCCTTCTGCCTCAGCCTCCCGAGCAGCTGGGACTACAGGCATGCGCCACCATGCCCGGCTAATTTTTTACATATATATATCAGTTGGCCAATTAATTTCTTTCTATTTATAGTAGAGACGGGGTCTCGCTCTTGCTCAGGCTGGTTTTGAACTCCTGACCTTGAGCAATCCGCCCGCCTCGGCCTCCCAAGAGCTAGGATTACAGGCGTGAGCCACAGCGCCCGGCCGGGTTTTCTTATTGAGTTGTAAGTGTTCTTTTTATATTATGGATGCAGATCTTTTATTGGATATGTTTTACGAATATTTCCTCCAGTCTGTTATTTGTCTTTAAATTTTATTAATGGTGTCTTTTCAAGCGCAAGAATTTTGATAATGTCTAATTTATCAGCTTTTGCATTGACTGACTATGCTTTTGGCTCAAAAAAATACATGGACCAGGAATGGTGGCTTTCACCTGTAATCCCAGTTACTCAGGAGGCAGGAGGATAGCTTGAGTCCAGGAGTTCAGACCAGCCTGGGCAACACAGTGAGACCCCCATCTCTACAAAAACAGTTTTTAACCACTCCCAAAAAAGAAATAAATGACAGTGGAAGTTTTTATCTAAGAAATCTTTGCCAAACACAGGGTGTAGAAGACATTCTCCTATTTTATTCTAAAAATGTTATTGTTTCATCTATTACATTTAAGTCAATAGTCCATTGAGTTAATTTTTGTGTTTGGTGTGAGGTAAAGGTCTAAGTTAATCTTTTTGCACATGGATCAATTGAGCACCATTTGTTGAACAGACTATCCTTTCCCCCAATAAATTACCTTTGGACATTTGTCAAAAATCAATTAACTATAAATATAAGGATTTATCTCTGGACCCTCAGTTCTGTCCCAGTGATCTGTCTGCTCCAGGCAACCTTAATGTGAGGAAGTATTAATACATTCTGTGAACCAATGACTCGTTGGAACTTGGGGATAACAACTGCAGAAAGTAGGCTTCAGAAACCGCATACCAGGCCTTTGACAAGGTATGGTGGATTGAGATGATACTGATCTTAAATTCCACTAATTCCAGTGTATCTGTAGACAAATTACACCTGTAACAAGTGTCACTGGTCCTGGGAAGAACAGGATACATCAACTAGCCTTGCTGCAAGACTACCTCAGGTGGTCACTCGTGGATTGCTCTGCTTTTCAGGTTGATATAGTTAATTGCATTCATTGCAAGAGCTGGCTCTCCTTACTAGGATCTAATTGAAAAATTAAATTGATAAAAATGACCATGCCAGAACTAGAAACTGACCAGAAGGTAACAAATTCTTTGTAGTTGTCATTAGGTGTGTTGGCAAAGCTGTAACTCTCCTCTTTCCAGGCAAACAGGATTGTATTTTCCTCGCCTTCTGGAATTTAGGCAGGTCATGACTTGATTTGGCCAACAGAACTGATGGGTAGAAGCTTGAAGAATCTATATGGAATTCCCCAAGTTTTCTTTTCCTGTCTCATGGAAGTACATGACAAGATGGTGTCTCCATCAACCTGGGTCCAAGCAGAATCCTCTGGATAATCCACATTAAACATTGCAGCTTATGCAGGAAATAAAGGTGACACAACCTAGCTTATTACAACTGCTACAAACTATACCTAATGGGGAACACAACCTAAAAACCTTCCAAATTACTGGCTTGGGACCTACTCAGGAGGCTAAGTTTGGGCTCCATCTCTAGCTCTGCCAGACCAGCTCAGGCTCAGCTCTTCCACGGTCTGGCACGGATGCATCATCCATTTTAAACATATATTTACTCGCTCCACAAGGGGAATGAGCTTGTTCTCAAGAGCCCAGCTGCCTGGGGTGGATTCTAGCTCTTACACAGGGGGCTTTTTGGCCATGTTCTTTAACCTATGTGTCTGTTTCCACATATGTAAAATGCAGACAATGGTGTCTATACCTTATCAGAATAAATTGAAGAATTTAGGCCTATAATCCTAGCACTCTGGGAGGCCAAGAAGGAGGATTGTTTGAGGCTAAGAGTTCAAGACCAACCTGGGCAACATAGTGAGACCCCATCTCTACAAAAGAATTTAAAAATCCAGGCTTGGTGGTGCATGCCTGTAGTCCCAGCTGCTTGGGAGGCTCACTTAAGTCCAGGAGTTGGAGGTTGCAATGAGCTATAATGACACCACTGCACTCTCACCTGGATGACAGAGTGAGACTATGCCTCAAAAAAAAAAAAAAAAAAAGGAATTTAGTGTAATGCCTGGTAGATAGTGCTCTGTGAGTATTAGCTGTTAGTGGGGTATGGCTCTTGCCGGCATGTTATCCTGTTCCCAGCCACCTAGCCAGAATGTGCTGCTGGGCGTAGCCTTTCCTATCTCTTCTATTGGAGAGCTAAGCACGGGCAGAGCAATCAACCCTGGGAGGCTTGGGTACGATTTAAATGATAAAATCCTGTGCTTGGCTCGAGATTACAGCTATAGTAAAAAATGAAATTGAGAGGCCGGGCGCGGTGGCTCACGCCTGTAATCCTAGCACTCTGGGAGGCCGAGGCGGGCGGATTGCTCAAGGTCAGGAGTTCAAAACCAGCCTGAGCAAGACCCCGTCTCTACCATAAAATAGAAAGAAATTAATTGGCCAACTAATATATATAATATAAAAATCAGCCAGGCATGGTGGCTCGTGCCTGTAGTCCCAGCTACTCGGGAGGCTGAGGCAGGAGGATCGCTTGAGCCCAGGAGTTTGAGGTTGCTGTGAGCTAGGATGACGCCACGGCACTCACTCTAACCTGGGCAAGAAAGCGAGACTCTGTCTCAAAAAAAAAAAAAAAATGAAATTTAGAGCTATGGATGACTCCTAGGTTAGAACAGTGAGGTATCCAGCTAGTTCATAGCAAGTGTCAGAGTTGGGAACTGGCTTCAATCAATGGGAATTGGGTAACAAAACAATCACATTCCCATTCACATCCAAATAATTCCCAAGACATGTGACGTGGAGTGTCTGGTTTATTTAAACTGGCTGTCAGAGGCCCCATGGTGGAGCAGGCACTGAATGGCTGGGAGCTGTGGGGCGGAGCAGGACATGGATGTCCAGGTGTCAGAAGGCAAAGGAGGTCAGCAGAGCAGCCAGAGCAGCGTCAGGGTCAGGGCCAGGCTGAGCAGGGGAGCCCAGGCCCTGCGGAACCCAGCCCCACTTACGACCTCAGCATAGAATCTCGCCACTTCCTCGTTGGGGTTGCCCTGGGCTGGGTCAAACCACATCTGGATGCAGCGGCCGCTCCCTCGGCTGTAGTTGCTGACTTTGTAGGAGTGACTCCAGATTTCGTTGCACAGATCAGCAGGTGTGGGGAAGTAGAAAGGGAAGGTGTGGCAGGCAGCTTGCACTGGGCACTGGTTATGTCCTGTAGGGAGGATGAACAACCTTTAGCCACTGGGCTCAGCACTATCTGCTTCTGCCAGTCCCACAACCCCAAATCTTCACATACCTCTTCCACACCCCCACACCTCCACATCCACATCCCTCCCTTCCTGCTCCACCCCAGCCCTCACCTGAGGTCCAGTTCCAGCCCTTGTGCCAGTTTCCCTTGCAGGTGAAAGAGGAGCGACAATCCTCCCACCAGGTCTCACAGTCCTCTTTGCACAAGGGCACGTTCAGGACCCGCTCTTTGCGCCAGCTCTGGTCCACCTGGGAGATTGGGTAGAGAAGGGCTTAGGCTCAGGAATCCCAGCAACCCAGCCCTGAGTAGCACCAGAGCTGGAGGTGCAGCCTGCAGATGTCTGGAGAGCTCAGCTCCTCTGCTAGGTTGGGGATGCCAGGAAGACACTAGTACCTTCGTGATCCAGGGCCCCAAGTTAGGGGAGCACTCATAGAGGCAGGTGTCCTGGATGAAATGCCGTTTGCAGGCGGGCTCCATCTTTCCACAGTGGTCCCAGTTGAATCCATACAGGTAGGACATATCCTTATGGGCTTCCTTGCTGGTGTTGACAGTGCAGCAGGCATTCCTCCTCCAGGGAGAGCACTGGATGGGGGAAGACACAGGACTAAGTCCACAGCCAGTGCAGCCAGAATATTCTACGTGCAGCCTCTCCCCTTTTAGTCCTTGATTCACCAACCCAGTCAAAGTCATCCAGGAAAATACTTGCTACTGGGGACCTCTTTGGCAGGGTGACTCTCGGGAGGCTGTGGGAGCCCAGAAGGGAGCCCCTGCCTGGAGGGGCAAGTCATTACAGAATTCATTAATTCAAATCCTTATTGCTCCCCTATCTACTGACCCAGGCACTTTCTAGGAACTGGGGATACAAAGATGAACACTTGTCACATCATAATTGGTTTGGCAAAAAACAAGCAGGAGAGAGGGGATGGGGACTTGCAGTGTTACAGGGTGGTCAGATTAAGCCTGGTTGAGAAAGTGACAAACACCTGGAGGTGAGGAAGCAAGTTTAATTGTAGCCCCAGAATAATTCCAATTACATAAACACTCAGTGCATACTTATTGAATGAAAACCCACAGCCTACAATTTAGCATCAAGCTTGAGAAAACTAGCTCAGGCTGGGCACGATGGCCCACGCCTGTAATCCTAGCACTCTGGGAGGCCGAGGTGGTGGATTGCTCGAGGTCAGTAGTTCAAAACCAGCCTGAGCAAGAGCATCCGTCTCTACTAAAAATAGAAATTAATTGGTCAACTAAAAATATATAGAAAAACTTAGCTGGGCATGGTGGCACATGCCTGTAGTCCCAGCTGCTCGGGAGGCTGAGGCAGGAGGATTGCCTGAGCCCAGGAGTCGGAGGTTGCTGCGAGCTAGGCTGACGCCAGAGCACTCTAGCCCAGGCAACAGAGTAGAGTGAGACTGTCTCAAAAAAAAAAAAAAAAAAAAAAAAAGCCTGAGGCAGGAGGGAGGGAGGACCACTTAAGCCCAGAAGTTGAAGGCTGCAGTGAGCTGTGATGGGCCACTGCCCGCCAGCCTGGGTGACAGAGCAAGACCTGCTCTTTAGAAAGAAAGAAAGGCATGTTGTTCCTGACTAGCTGCCTCACCCATTATTTTCACACTCTTGGAATTTGTAGATACAAAGAACAATGTGGCCAATCAATTGCTTATGTTATTTTAACATAAATTCTTGGTAAACAACTTAAGAACTGCCTCTTCTTTCTTAAAAATTCACGTGCAATTGCTGCAAACTGGAGTGTATATTTGGGACGACAACATGAACCTATTCTCATGGGTGGAACTCCTCAAGCTTTCTGAATTTTGTTTAAGATTGACAAGCTAAATATTAAGTGTGCACTTTAAAAAAATATAAAGGCTGGCCGGGCGTGGTGGCTCACGCCTGTAATCCTAGCACTCTGGGAGACAGAGGCGGGCAGATTGCTCCAGGTCAGGAGTTCAAAATCAGCCTGAGCAAAAGCTACACCCTGTCTCTACTATAAATAGAAATAAATTAATTGACCAACTAACATATATAGAAAAAATTAGCCGGGCATGGTGGCGCAGCTGTGAGGTAGGCCCGACTCCACGGCACTCACTCTAGCCTCGGGAACAAAGTGAGACTCAAAAAAAAAAAAAAAATAAGTGAAAGCCAGGGCTTCCCAAGGTGTCTAGGTCTCAATCTGCACTTGACAGCTGCAGGCTCATCCAAACAAGCACAAACAGGACTGTACCCCTATCTGCTAATGGAGTCAAAATGAACATTTACATATGGAAAATGCATACTACAGATTACTTTTCTGTTTTAGAGGCAAGGTCTCCTCCGTCACCAAGGCTAGAGTGGAGTAGTGTCATCATAGTTCACTGCAACCTCAAATTCCTGGGCTTAAACAATCCTTCTGCCTCAACCTCCCCAGTAGCTGGGACTACAGGCATGAACCACCATGCTGGGCTAACTTCTCTATTTTTAGTAGAGATGGGTCTCACTGTGTTGCCCAGGCAGGCCTTGAACTCCTGGCCTCAAGTGATCCTCCCACCTTAGCCTCCCAAAGCGCTAGAATTATAGGCATGAACCACCATGCCCAGCCTCTTTTTCATTCTTCCTTTATTCTTTGAGACAAAGTCTTACTGTGTTGCTTGGAGTAGAGTGCCATAGCATCAGCCTGGCTCACAGCAACCTCAAACTCCTGGGCTCAAGCAATCCTTCTGCCTCAGCCTCCCAAGTAGCTGGGACTACAGGCATGTGCTACCATGCCTAGCTAATTTTTTCTATATATTTTTTAGTTGTCCAGCTAATTTTCTTTCTATTTTTAGTAGACACAGGGTTGTTGTTCTTGCTCAGGCTGGTCTCGAATTCCGAATTCCTGACCTTGGGCAATCGCCCGCCTCAGCTTCCCAGAGTGCTAGGATTACAGGCGTGAGCCACCACACCTTTCTTGAGCTGTTTAGGGCTAGCAGACAAGAAAGCACTCTGATGCAGGGTGCAGTCTCTCTTGTTAGGTCTTTGGAGGAGTCATTTCCATTCTAAACCTCAAAATTGGCCCGGCGCAGTGGCTCACGCCTCTAATCCTAGCACTCTGGGAGGCTGAGGCGGGAGGATTGCTCAAGGTCAGGAGTTCGAAACCAGCCCTCTGCCTCTACTAAAAATAGAAATTAATTGGCCAACTAAAAATATATAGAAAAACTTAGCTGGGCATGGTGGCACATGCCTGTAGTCCCAGCTACTCGGGAGGCTGAGGCAGAAGGATTGCTTGAGCCCAGGAGTCTGAGGTTGCTGTGAGCTAGGTTGATGCCACGGCACTCTAGACTGGGCAACAGAGTGAGACTCTGTCTCAAAAAAAAAAAAAAAAAAATTGAAAAAAATCCTATCATTAATCTCACCAGCTTCATTTCCCAGACACTTCTCTGGGTCTTCTTCCTTATTTGTGGAATGAGGAAACCAACAACTGAAAAAATGAGCTGTGGGCATTGTACTGACATTAAGCAAACAGTATGTGTGAAAAATAGTCACCCACATTAATGCAAACTGAAGGTCTCCTCTAGCAGATCTGTCTGCCTCCACCATGGAGTGGGTTTTCATATCTCCATCTCCTGATTTCCTCTTCCCAAGTCAGTCCCTCCCCACCCCAGATCACCCCTGGGCCCACCTGTTGATGCAACCTGTCCTCCGGGCCTGGCCTTTCCTTGTGGTGCTTGGCATCCATACAGACATTGAGAAGCTCAGTCCTGAGGTGAAGGGTGCTGGGCTGGGCTTCAGACACGAACACTAGAAGGAGCAGCAGCCGTGTTGTTATCCAGTGGGCCATGGCTGCTACTGGAGGAAGAGCTACAGTTAATGGCACCAAAGCAGGCAGAGTTGGGCCTTTTAAAGTGTGGACACAGCTCCAGGGGGGTGGGGCCTCAACTGGGGCATGGGCAGATCATTGCCTGCTCCACCCCCTAGGGTTATCCCAGAGCCAATCAGGGGTGGGATGGGACACCATCTGCTCAGGGAAGGTCCCTAGTTGGAGCCTCGCCCTGATTTCTCTAGGTAGCCATGAAGATCAAGTGATACAATTAAGGAATGGGCTGCACTTGCTTTGGCAGCACATATAATAAAATTGGAACAATACAGACATTAGCATGGCCTCTGCAATTAAATTTTTAAAAAATTTAAAAAGTAAGGGCCGGGGTCGGTGGTTCACGCCTGTAATCCTAGCACTTTGGGAGGCTGAGGCGGGAGGATTGCTCAAGGTCAGGAGTTCGAAACCAGCCACAGCAAGAGCAAGACTCTGCCTCTACTAAAAATAGAAATTAATTGGCCAACTAAAAATATATAGAAAAACTTAGCTGGGCATGGTGGCACATGCCTGTAGTCCCAGCTACTTGGGAGGCTGAGGCAGCAGGATTGCTTGAGCCCAGGAGTTTGAGGTTGCTGTAAGCTAGGCTAATGCCATGGCACTCACTCTAGCCTGGGCAACAAAGCGAGACTCTCTCTCAAAAAAAAAAAAAAATGTTTAGGATTTTATGAAAGGTAATACAAACTAAGGTAATATGATTTACATGTACCCAACAATCAAACACATGTTCCATGGTGAAATAGTTACACTGGTGGGATAAATAAAAACTCATATTAATTTTCAGATCAGTTTTTCAACATCAAATGACTTTGTGTAAAACTTTATAAAAATACTTTAGTGTTAGGCCGGGCGTGGTGGCTCACGCCTGTAATCTTAGCACTCTGGGAGGCCAAGGCGGGTGGACCATCTGAGTTCAGGAGTTTGAGACCAGCCTGAGCAAGAGTGAGACCCCACCTCTACTAAAAATAGAAAGAAAATTAATTGGGCAACTAAAATATATAGAAAAATTTAGCCAGGCATGGTGGCACATGCCTGTAGTCCCAGCTACTTGGTAGGCTGAGGCAGGAAGATCACTTGAGCCCAGGAGTTTGAGGTTGCTGTGAGCTAGGCTGATGCCACGGCACTCTAGCCAGGCAACACAGTGAGACTCTGTCTCAAAAATAATAATAATAATAATACTTTAGTGTTGGATTAAAGTAAAAGTACTTTACTGCTGGGCTCATGTGACCCTTTCACCTCAGCCTTCTAAGTATCTGGGACTATAGGTATATGCCACAGTGCACAGCTAATTTTTATTTTATTTTATTTTACTTATTTTTGTAGAGATAGAGTTTTGCTATATTGATTAGGCTGGTCTTGAACTTTTGGGCTCAAGAAGATGTATGGGGCCAGGCGTGGTGGCTCATGCCTGTAATCCTAGCCTCTGGGAGGCTGAGGCGGGAGGATTGCTCAAAGTCAGGAGTTCGAAACCAGCCTGAGCAAGAGCAAGACCCTGTCTCTACTAAAAATAAAAGAAAATTAATTGGAATTAATTGGGCAACTAAAATATATAGAAAAAGTTAGCCAGGCATGGTGGCACATGCCTGTAGTCTGAGCTACTTGGGAGGCTGAGACAGAAGCATTGCTTGAGCCCAGGAGTTTGAGGTTGCTGTGAGCTAGGCTGATGCCATGGCACTTAGCCTGGGCAAGAGTAAGACTCTGTCTCAAAAAAAAAACAAAAAAAAAGGAGTTAGGTGGATTTTTGTTTTGTTTTATTTTTATTTTTTTGAGACAGAGTCTCGCTTTGTTGTCCAGGCTAGAGTGAGTTCCGTGGCATCAGCCTAGCTCACAGCAACCTCAAACTCCTGGGCTCAAGCAATCCTTCTGTCTCAGCCTCCCGAGTAGCTCAGACTACAGGCATGCACCACAATGCCCGGCTAATTTTTTTCTATATGTATTAGTTGGCCAATTAATTTATTTCTATTTATAGTAGAAACGGGGTCTCACTCTTGCTCAGGCTGGTTTCGAACTCCTGACCTTGAGCAATCCTCCCACCTCTGTCTCCCAGAGTGCTAGGATTACAGGCGTGAGCCACCACGCCCGGCCTGTTTTGTTTTTAAAGCCCTTTCCAGTGTCATCTCTTGAGCTAGTCCAGCAGGCCCCTCCCAGAAACCCTGTGGCACATCTGGGCAATGTCACAGGGCACAGAGGCTAGTGGGGGACAGCTGGCTGAACAGCCCTGGGGCCTTGGGAAGTTCCTGAACCCTCTACCACAGAGCTGGCCTCCTCTTGGCCACATAGCACTTCAATCCTTTGACCTCAGAACTGGTTACCAGGTGCCTGGTCCCTCCTAAAATGCTCAGAATTTATCTCCCACAGCTCTCTCCCTCTAACCATTCTCCACACACGAGCTGATGAAGTGGATGTGCCACCCCAGCTCACAAACTCGCCTCGCACCTGCATTGCCCCCGCCTCCTTCAGAGCTCAGGCGTCTTGACAGGGCTTGCGCTGGGCGGTCTCCAGGCCAACTCTGAACAGCAGGGCTCAGGAAACCTGGAATTGAATTCCTACCCAGCTCTCCTTCCAGCTCCACAATCTATTATTCTGCTACTCTATTCATCCCAGTGTTCATTCATTCTCTCATTGCCAATGCCTCCATTCCAAGGCCCAGCCATGACTCTGCTGACCTGCTCACTCACTCACCTTGAGGGCCAGGCCAGAGAAATCTTCAGTCAGGGACCACCAGGTGATTCTTGGACTAGGTTCTTTGGGAGAAACAAAGCCTAGCAGTTTAGAGCACAGGGTTCAAGGTCAGCCCAGCCCTTACTCCATCTCCTCCTTGGCCTTGGGGGAAATAGATGCAAACTATAATATTTTAAGGCTTAATTTCATTAGCAGAGGGTTAAATGTAGGAGGGAAAACAAACAAATGACAGCCAGAGTAATCTACATGGAATCAGTTGGGCACAGATTGAGAACATGCCCCAAGTCACACAGCAGGGACCACCCGAGTCTAGGCCAGAGCTCCTTTGGCTTTCACCGCCTGCACCCTTACCATGCTGGGGCTCTCACAGGGGCAGTTGGCACCCTGTGCTGGGGGCGGGGGCTGAGAAGGTAGAGCCCATCTGTTCAGTCTGCAGTCTCTCTTGCTGCAGCTGCTTCTGCAGTCAGAACCCTCTACCTCTCCCTGTGACCTACATCACTCTGTAAGCCCCTTCTTCATCTTCCTAGTCTCACCTGCAGATCTCGGCCCAGCTGTGACCCCACCACAACCACCCATCACCCCTGCACTCCACCTTGGGGCCCCAGACTAGAAGTGCAGAGAACTCAGTGCTGGACTGAAGGGCAAGAGCCCTTGGTTGTGGTTCAGGGGTGGACACTGACTTGTAGTTTAACCTTGGGCAGGCCACACTCTGGGCCTCAGTCTCCACTTCAGGATTCTTTGTGCTTTAGGTAAACAGAGGGCCCTCCCTGCTCAGCTAATCCTTTAACACATGCCTGGAATACCACAGAGTGTGTGGGAAAGGGGCAGCCTTGCAAAAATCACAGGAAAATACCTAATCCCACAATTTCCCCGGTAACAGTTAAAGATCAATCCTGTGAGTTCTTTCACTAACAGGTACCCTGCAGGAGTTCTGTTTTGCACAACTTCTGAAAAGAGCTGAATGGACGGAAAAGAGATATAAATCTCTCTCTTTCAAAATTGTTTTTTGAGAATCTGTTTTTACATAGTTACTGAGTAAACAGCAGGAGAAATGAGCTACAGCCTAAACCATATCTTAAGGACAGAGTCACATCTCCTGTGATAATCCCTTCTCCAAGGAAAGGCAGGAAATCAAGTCTTGGACTTTGACATCCTTGCAGGTTTTTGTTATCCACCTACTGCTGCCTTTGTTGCCCACTGACAGCCAGCACTATTGTTTTCTCTTTGTCCCGCTTAAATTCATCGTGTCTCTTGGCCTCACTGCTGGCATCTCCCTTCGTTTTCTTTGGATGCCACACCATCTCCCTGCCCTCTTCCCCCCCAATTCTCTCTCTTTCTCTTTCATTCTCTCTGTCCTTCTAAAGGATAAAATGAACCTTTTAACTTACGTATTTTAATCTCTTCGTGATAAATCGTTCTCCACCCGCACCGACCGTGAGCACCGCTAGGCTTTCCACCCTAACACGTGGCCTGGACGGGAGGGTGGGGAGTGCCATACCTGGGAGAGGAGGTGGCTCTCAGCCTGGCTCGGGCTCCTGCTCTGCTCTAAACTCTCCCCTCCTTACTCCAGGGGCTGGCGAGGTTTAGTGGCCTAGGAGATGGGCGGTGGGGCAGGCAGTGGGAATGCAGCCCAGAAGTGGAGCTGGGATCGTACGAAGGCCACTCAGCAGTTAATTATTGCACGTGAGCACCGGCCAGGCCTCCGTGGGGAAGTAGGAGGGGGTGAATGAACAGTGCAGGCCTAAGACCAGTCTCCAAGCTTCCCTTACCCCATTTTCTCCCAAAACCTTAGGTCTGAAAAAAATTTTACAGCCTGAGCTGCCAGGATCCTTTGAGCTAATCTCATCCATTCCCAATACTCCTGCCCTGTTATACAGACGAGGAAAATGAAACTCAGAGAATCAGAACAGAGCCAATTTCAGGGCAAGGGCTAGAGCACGGGCTTCCAACCTCCCGGCCAGCTATGGAAAGCAAGGAGCTCCCACGCCCCTGAATTGTAGAGCCACCAACTCCTGCAACCTCATCAGCCCAGGTGTCATTCACCTTCAGCTACAAACTCACAAATGTTCCGAATCTTTTGCTCAGCCTTAGTTGTTCAAATGTCCAAGCTCCCCATCTATCCCACACTCACTCCCCCCCTCACTCAGGTATCCTTTCTGTAGTAGCCAAAAGTCTGGGTGTTAGACTCTTCCTACCACCCCTACCCCAGCCAAGGACAAATGCCTTCCTTTTTTTACCCTCTGAGCTAAGGTGGTTCCACTGGTGAGAAAAAGGAGAGGGAGGAGCAGATTTGGAGGGAAGAAGCACAGAGCTCTGCTTTGTCAGGTGCCTGTGTGCCCTTGGCCCAGGTGGTTGTGGAGGCTAAAGCTCAGGGGAGGGGTCCAGGCTGGATGCAGATGAAAGTTTAGGGAAGGGCCAGGTGCAGTGGCTCACACTTGTAATCCTAGCACTCTGAGAGGCCAAGGTGGGACCGCTGGAGGCCAGAACTTCAAGACCAGCCTGAGGCCGGGCGAGGTGACTCACACCTATAATCCTAGCACTCTGGGAGGCTGAGGTGGGAGGATCACTCAAGATCAGGAGTTTGAGAACAGCCTGAGCAAGAATGAGACCCCATCTCTACTAAAAATAGAAATAAATTAATTGGCCAACTGAAAATATATAGAAACAAATTAGCCAGGCATGGTGGTGCATGCCTGTAGTCCCAGCTATTTGGGAGGCTGAGGCGGGAGGATCGCTTGAGCCCAGAAGTTTGAGGTTGTAGTGAGCTATGATGATGCCATAGCACTCTACCCAGGCAACCGAGTGAGACACTATCTCAAAAGAGAAAAAAGAAAAAAAAAAAATCAGTTTCAGGTTGTGCCCAACCTGCATGGTTCATCCATTACTGGGCCAAAATGTTTCCTCCCAGCCTCTGGATTACTCAGTAAACACTAGGGAGGCCTGGTTGATATATTTTCATAATCAGGCCAGGTGGCGTTCAAACTCGAGTGAGTCTGTTTTAGGGTTTGGGAAGTCCTTGGTAATGAATATGTCCTCCGGTGTCTGAGCCAGTTTTAAGGGGAGCAATGAGGTGGTTTGAGGGGGGCATGGAAAGGATGAGTGGCTCCAGGGTGGAAGGGGAAGGGAAGAGGGAAGCTCAGAAGGGGTGGAGGCAGCAGAAAGGGGTGCGGGTGGGTGGCGTAGAAGGAGGAGCAGGTTTGGGAGGGGAGGGAGACACAGCGTCTTTCTCCATCTCATTGTGAGAGTCTGACTCAGGGAGGCTCTCACGTTTCTAATATGCTGGTCGAGTTTCGAATTAGACTCCTTTAGTTTTGAATGTCTCCTTTAAGGGGGCTGTCAGAGACTCCTGATCACGTTTAGAGCTCTCATAAACCAATTTTCAATGGTGTCCCCTTGCTTCTGAGAGGTCCAGAACCCTCTCTGCTCTAAATGTGCATGAAAGTAAACTGATTTAGGCATGTCAGAAGGTCCTGCCCCAGGCAAAAGGATCTGAAACATTAGTTTGGGAGGTCTCACTCCTTGAAGCGGATCTCCAGCCAAGCTTTCTGTTTGTGTTCCCCTTCCCCTATTTCCTATTTTGGACCAGATCTTTTGTCCTAAAGACTTATCTTCTACTTTACACTCTTTTCTACCCCCTGCAAAAGAAAACCTTCACACGCACACACATATATATTTAATTCTTGGGGTGTCCCTATAACTCTTAAATGATTTATGCAAGAATCCTGATGAAGCTAGGAACCCTTCATCCTTGTTTTCAACCTCCTAGGTAAAGACCATTTCTTGATGTGATTCATGCCAAACACCGAAGACACTGCTGTATTCTGAGTAGGTCAAACCTACTTAAAATGTAATCCTAACGTAGAGAAGGGAAACTGGGGGATCTTCCATGTAGAAGGTGGGGGCAGGAGACCTAGAAAGGATTTATGGATGGATATCCAAGTCACTCAGGAACTTTTATGTAGGTGCAAGAAACACGTCAAAGTGGCCATGAGACTGTTTAACAGGAGATGGATGGATGTAACTCCATGTTTACTGCTAGAAACCAAAGCTTTGTGTGAAATCTTGAATTCATGTGGAGGGAAGGAGGGTGGGTAGGAAAGCCTGTGCCTGTCTGTTCTTTTCCTCATGTTTTCCCTTCATTCCTCAACTGCAGGAGACTGAGCCTCCCTTTGGCTTTGGTAACCCTATCCTGGGGTGTGTTTTCTTTTTTTTTTTTTGAGACAGAGTCTCACTTTTGTTGCCCAGGCTAGAGTGAGTGCCGTGGCATCAACCTAGCTCACAGCAACCTCAAACTCCTGGGCTCAAGCGATCCTCCTGCCTCGCTCGTCCGAGTAGCTGGGACTACAGGCATGCACCACCATGCCCGGCTAATTTTTTGTATATATACTTTTAGTTGGTCAATTAATTTCTTTCTATTTTTTTTTAGTAGAGACGGGGTCTTGCTCAGGCTGGTTTCGAACTCCCGACCTCGAGCAATCCGCCCGCCTCGGCCTCCCGGAGTGCTAGGATTACAGGCGTGAGCCACCCCGCCCGGCCTTTTAGGTGCTCTAGTTCTATAGCACTTGACCATAGCTGCTGATATTGTTGTTGCAATACTAGTAGCTGGACAGTGTTTATCCGTTCTTTCACAAAAGCTACTAGTCTATTAATTAACACATGGCGGCAAAGTAAGGACTAAAATTAGCATAATGCAGTGGCCTAGTAGGGTGGATAGTAGCATTGTTAACCAGGGGGAACTGTTAAACCAAAGACTCAAACCAACCTGCTTGCTGTTCATATTCTCGTTTGCGGCGGGCAAGCCCTTCCCTGACCTTAGCTATAGATTCTCTAACAACTCCCGTATGGTCTGAAAAAACGAACATTCTTCTTTGAGGGCAGCACACAGTCTCTCCTTCCGCTGGAGGAATACTAGATCTAACCCCCTTCCGGTTCTGGAGCACTACCTCGGATAGGGGGTTAGTGACTTGAGTATTTAAACCCTCTTTGCCGCATTGCCAGAGAAGAGATACTAGTTCCTGCTCCTATTGCCCCTAAGCCAAAAAGAGTAGCCAGGGTTATGGCTGTGAAGGGCTCTCTTTCTTTCAAAAATTAGGTTGCTGACTCTTCGCCCTACTATGCCCTCATACATTGTCTCCTCGGTGTGGTATATTATTTTTGAGAACACTAACACCATTATACAGTAATCTTTAGACCCATGTAAGGTTAGGGGGTTGGTGGGGGTTTGGGGCGGTAAGTACAGCTATAAGTCTCTACCCCAAAAACATTAGACCAAAAACAACATCCAATTCAAAACACAACAACCAAACCCCACCGCGACCCGTCCATGTTTGTCACCAGTCAATCTTTAAGATGCCACACCCCTAGTCCAAGTCTGTGTCAGCGGTCCTGGGCTGGTCGCGCCTCTCGGTCAGTCTGGTCTTCAGAGGATTCTTCGGGTCTGCAGTTGCTTTCCATTGGTCCTGGCACTGCTCCTGGTCTTTTTTATTAACAGGTCTCACATAGGAGTGGTGTAGCCAGGTCGCTACTATTCTATCGATCCTTAAGAGCAGTGGGGTACAAAGAATAATTGTGATAGGGGCCTTCCACCTCGGCTCGAGGGTTCTGCTGTTATGCGTTTCACCCACACCGCAGTCCCGGCTGGTGTGGGTGAAACGGGTGTCCGCACCCTCCTCCTCAGGCCGGTAGATAGCACGGAGGGCCGGCCGTACTTGACTGTGCAGAGCCTGCACCGCTTGTAACACTTCTTTGGGATGTCCCAGAAGAGCATCAGGGCTCAGCCTAGGAACTACAGGAGGGGGGTTGCGGTACATGATTTCAAAAGGGGTTAAACCCAAGTGATAAGGGGTGTTCCAGGCTCAGAACAGGGCGAAGGGAAGGAGGGTCACCCAGTCTCCGCCAGTCTCTAGGGCCAATTTAGTCAGGGTCTCCTTTATTGTTCTATTTTTCGCTCTACCTGCCAAGAGCTCTGGGGATTTTATGCACAATGGTAACTTCCAATCTATCCCATACCTGGGCCTAGCCC